AATTCTCTGGTCGTTGTACGACCAGAGAATGGTTGTGTTGACATATTTTTTCTTTTGTTTATAACAGACTATTTTACACAATTTTTAATGAAATTTTCAAAATTGCTTTTTTTTTCTTATAAAATGCCAAAAAATTTTTATTTCGTAATTTTCTTTTGTGATAAGCACAGTACCATCATAAATGAACGTTTATTTAGGAACTATAAAAACGAATTCACTGAAAAACATATATGTTCGGGTCAGCTTTTTAAAAATTGTTGTAAAGTGCATCAAAATACAACTTTGTGCTCTTCGTACTAAATATTACAAAGTAGCTACAGTTTGAATCACGCATACAAGTTTGGGTCGCTTGGTGACTATTTTATTAAATAATTTACTTTAAATAAAAATGCCGCCGTATAAAAGGAATAAACCCCCGAAAATTCCTGAACCACCTCAAGAGTCCAGCAGAAACTCTGCAGAAGATAAAGTGGTATCTGGCCAGGTATTCTGAAAGAGAAATTCCAAAATAATTGTGTATTCCGTGTAACTGCACTTATGAATATTTTTACATTTCACAGTTAGAGAAAAAGATAAAAAAACAAAAACGAGCTAGTAAACCGATTAAGAATCGTGGAGTTGTATTTATTAAGCATTTACCACATGGCTTTTTCGAAGAACAAATGAGACATTACTTTTCACAATTTGGCGATGTTACCCGTTTACGACTGGTGCGCTCGAAACGTACCGGCGGTACGTTTTTTTAGTAACTGTTGAGCGGCTTCGGCAAGTCAATGGTCGTGGGTTCGAACCTCAAGTGCGGTAGAGTTTTTAATAAAAGCCGATAGCCTGCTAGATGCTAGTGCTTTTAAGAGTTTAGTCTTAGAATTTATTTCTCTGGCGAAATTAATAATAATAATAATAATGTAAGTAAATGAAACGAAATTTTTGCTTACCTTCTTAGGTTCCTTAATTCTCTTCTCTATGTAAGCAGACATATTTGTCTGAGAATAAAATTCTATTTCTGACATATATAAATTTTTTTAATTTCTTTTATTTAATTTTTCTTCGCAAATTATTCATTTCCTACAACTTCTATACCAACTTCTAAAATAATTTTGAATTTATATAAATTTCTGGTAAATTCTTCGCTAAAAGATGTTACCCTATTTTCCCCTTTACGTGGTTTATAAAAAGTACCATATGTTCAGAATAGAGAGAGCACAAAGTTGTTTTTAATAAATGGAAAATTTATGATGTTAATGTGAAACGAATGAAAATAAACCAATCCTACACATCTTTCTATGAAAATAAATGAAAGCCGCACATCTCTTCTAAAGATCTAAACAAAAACTACACCTTTCCTATGAAAATGAACAAAATCCATACCTTCCTCTATGAAAATGAACAAAATGCATACGTTTTTCTATGAAAATGAACAACAGCTCAGAAAAATTCTGCACGCAACATATTTATTTTTTTTATATCTCTATGGCACGTGTTTCATCTTGCTGTATCGAATTTTTTACTAAAAACTCAGATTGATATGTAAGTGGATGCATGTTTATTTATTTATTTTATTAATGAAATTTAAAAAAATATAATGTATTGTTCCGTTTTCATATCCTGTTAAATTTAGAAATTCTTAATAATATCAGCAAGACCTCGATTTAATGTTTTCGTCGCTTCGTTAGCTCCTTTACGAAGTTCGCTGTAATTCAGAGCTTGCTGCAACAAGTTCATGATCTTCGCCGTTAGTTGCGCCTCGGGCGAAGGAAACGATTTTGGCTTTATTCCTTAAGACTATAATTGCAAAAATTTAAATACGATTTTACGACGTTTTCATTAGCATGCACATATCATGCTCAAGGTATTTGATCGGACATCTATCTCATAGAATTTATGCTCTCAGTTCGTATAACATCTTTTTCTTTTATCATCGTACCTAATAATTTTTCGCAGACTGAGCAGATTCTTAGTTCTATATGAAGAAATTGAAATCCAGTTTTAACGAATGACATATAAAACTTGAAATGCAATCACATACTTTTCGAGGTTCCACTTACAATATAAAACACCAACGCGGATATTATGCGAAGATGCACTTAGGAAAGCAATTAAGTTCCCTACATTTAAAAAAAAGTTTAATGAAGTAAAAGGTGACTGCCAATGATTACAACAATGAGCATTAAAAAGATATTTTTAATAACTAAAAACTAAAAAAAATCGCACACTTCGTTGCCTTATCCTATTTCATCACAATTGGAACAAAATGTTTATTGAATTTATTATTTTTATATAGAAGATATTTATTTACTATTTTAAATAAATTTACACAAAATTATTAAAAGCCGCCAGATAACCGCATCATAGGTGCCTATAGATGTTTTAAGTAGCAAAGGTGTTTTGGGATTGTAAGGTTAAGAATACAATTAAAAAAATGTAGAAACAATTAAGAAAGTTCTATTCTAAGGGAGCAAATCCCAGACAAACAGACATGACTTCTGATTCCGTGTTAGCTGATCGCAAAAAGACTTTGGAATGATTCAAATGAATCTATAATCTAATCGCCTGAGGAAAACAGGGCGGTTCCAAGACATAAAGCCTGGTAGAGGGTTTACCTGACAATCTTATCCGCCTGCACGTTATAAGAAAAAATTTCCTCTCTCAGTAAGTAATTTTTTAATGAAATTTTTACTAAAACAGTATTATGTGTTATAAAAAACATTATTTAGAAAAAACATTATTTAGACTGTGAAAATTCAAATTTTTTATGAAAATGAAGAAATATTTTAGTGATAGCCAATCACCGAATAGTGTCGGTTTTACGGAAACGTTTTTAAATGGCTCGTTGAATAAGCACTCACTGTAGTTCATTGCTTCAAAATATTATTTTATTCTACATACTTTTTTCATAATTTTTAAATTTTTTTAACGTTACGAAATTTTCTCTTATGGTATTGTAAAAAAAAAATTCAACTTTTATACGAAATTATGTATTTAATGGAAGGTTGCAAAAAGTAAAATTAACGGAAAACCTAACATCTTTTTTTGTAATAAACATAACATAATATATAAGACAAAACATTTCGCTAGCAACATTTGCGCAACAAAATTGTCATGCCCTACTTGAAGACATCCAATATAAACGAAAGCTACGAAGGAGAATAAGAGAGAGTAAAAAAACTAAAACGAGCACATTTACTAAAGTACCATGTACCGATAGACGACAATATGAACACGTGTGTGCTATAGTAGACATTTTTTTTTTGAAGTTTTTGATATTTTTGTGCTTGACCGTTCACTTTGAGTATTTTGGTGCAAACTTTACTTTGCAAGTAGAGCTAACATATTTTATTAAAATTTCACAAATTTTTTTATTATTTACAATTATTTTTTCTAGTTTCTAGTTTAACTATGTATATTTTTCCTATTTATTGGGCAATTGTATGCAATTCTTCACCCCGTACACTAAGCACATTAGCAATTATATTAAATGGCTACGCATCCGAAAATGTCCTATATACCATTACATAATAATTGTTACCAAAAAAAGTAAAAAAAAGAATATGTTAAAATAACAATACACACTTTTTCTAATTCTGCATTCAAAATAAGTGATATTCCTGGCCTCCACAACGCACAATTACTTTTAATAGGTAATTAATGTAATAAAGTAATATAATAATTAATATGATAAAATACATAAGAAACAGTTTGTTAGTAATAGTTAGTAATAGTAAAAGAAGAACTATATTGATATAAATATATATTGATATATAAACATATATAATTTTTTTTATTTTTCGTCCTTTCTTGATCCTGTCGCCAACTAACAAAATGTTTGACAAAAATATGACAGTGTCAAAAAACAACACATTAACTATCTAAATAAATAAAGCGATGTTTTTTGCAGTCATCGTCCGTCACGAACTAGGGAAAGCCCTTTTTCATTTGTTTGAAGATGGCCAGAGGGATTAAATGCCTTGGATCTGGACTTGTACCTTGTAATAGTATACATACCTTTGCTCTATTATCAAATCTGCATTTCTACGATCGACTTTCAGCAAACAGTTTTATTTACAAATTTCTAACTCAACAAGATTGTGTTAAGAAGAAATGACCTTGCAGACCAGACAATACGTGATATTTTATATACGTTTAAAGCTCAATATTGAACAAAAGCGCATGAATCAATTAGAAATCTAATGCTATTGAAAATGCGAGATTCCACCACAGCAAACAAACAAACAAACCATATCACTGCAGTGTTGTGGTTGGTACAGATGTCCTGTTGGAAACTTGTACTTTAGTGTGAGGCAGTGGTCTCGATCTCCGCGGGTTCGTGCCCGCCTCATTTTTGTTTAAATGGTATTCATTTACTTTTTTTAAAACTGTAAAAGGAAAAATATGTATACTAGAAATTAGGAAGGATCATTATAATAAAAATTTTTGGCAATAAACAAGTAGATATACAGAAAAAAAGTAAGAATATTAAAGTCCAGCAACACCGACCATACATACCCTACATCATTTCGCCTAGTACAGTTACTCGTTCGTTTTGGTAATAACGCTTCAAACAGTACACAGAATTTTCACGCAAAGCCATAATTGTCATGAAAGCCCGCACAATGTTCATTTTTCTGCTGAATATATGATCAGCTGTAAAATATGTGACGGTATGTTTTTCAATCGAATTTCCAATCTGAAATTGAAATGATTGAATACATAAAACAATAAAATTTGGCAGAATCAGTTGTTCAAGTGTCAAGTAAGAAAACTATCCTTTCTTCTATAATTTTAAATCTTTTATTCACTTATTGATAAGTTTCCATTCTTTTATAGAATCACAAATCAATTCACTAAATTTTGAAAATGGAATAGCAAAATTTTGCTTATGTAATAAAAAAATGACTATCGTTATTCGTTTATTGGAACGTTTGGCTGACAGCAAAAATTACTGCTTAAAGCACTTGAACAATGGATTTGGGCTGTCTGCCTTTTATGAAGAAGTGCTTGAAAACAAACAGAGGGATAAAATTCACTTTGACTTTCTTTTTATTCGTGTACTGATTTTTAATACATTACTTTGAAGGTATTTATGTTTTACTTCTTCCAGGTTATAGCACGTATACGACGATATTTTGCAAACAATAGGTTTTCTTTATTTTGGAATAGTAACATTCAATATGCTTAAATATTTTAAAAGTTCCATTGTTCAGATGAAAACTAACGCCGTCAACTCTCGCCGAAATGTTGCACTATTTTGGTAATTCTTGGGATGTGTCTTTTTATATCGTTTATGTAAAATAACTGACTTTGTTTTAGGCTTTAATCAAATGTTTACCAGGTAGATAATTTTGGTCTCACCAAATGCTTCAATGAACTTTCTTCAACTTCAAATACAAAATCAGTCAATGGTAAATGTAAATATGGTTTTATTAGTAAACGTAATTTCTCAACAGGCAGAATATCGGAAATAGGGTAAGCAGATTTACGTTTTAATAACAATAGAAAAGATTAATTCGACAATAGAGGGATGGAGAGAAGATGCAATTTAACCAAGTTTGCAAACATTTTAATGGAATAGAAAGGAAGCGCAACCTTTTCTTTACATGTGAAAAATACCATGTTGAGACCTTATGCATTAGATGGGTGTAGTACTACTACTGATAGGACATCATATGGGATATACCCAGGTGGTTCAAATTAGGTCCAGTTAACTTTTTTATATAGTTACTATTATATTACTATTATAAACAAATTTTCATCACAAAAATAT